TCCGTTCTTTCCATACAGTTATTATCCATTTGACTCATTTCAAATAATTGCAACTTTTAATTAAATTCGAATTTTAACGAGTTTTTATATTATCCTGTAAATTTCGGGTACGCATGACTTAATAAGCAACCATTTTATAAATTTCTTATTTAATAAACTATTAATAATAGACATGTCAGTTTAAAGAAAATTTATTTAATATTCTATTTTCTATCAAAGATCGTCAAAGAAATGATTGCTGCCAAAGGAAACCTCTAATCTAGCATATTTAATTAGTTCAAACAATGCAATTTAGTGGAAAATCTTTTCCATGTTCAGATGGTCTGGGCATATATAATTGGAAGTTTTCACTTGATGGCACTCAAATGAAATGCCTGCAAAATGAACTACGAAACAAACTCCCAGAATTACTTGTCTATAAATTGATTGTCTATGAAAAAAATTTCAGGTTCTTTAACTAACTTTCGAATTAGTTAAATCATAAGGTATTATAAAACTATGTTGAGTTTAAACCTATCAGTAGCTTATCAATATAAAAGAAAATCCAAAACATAGGGAGCATTAGTGATAGATAGACTTACAAAAAATTTATCAAAAATCAAATGATTTATTATGTCAGAGATTGCAATATGAAACTAAAAAGGACATCCCGAGGTTTACATATTTATTGTAAATCTAATTGTATGTGGAGATAGGTAAATTTCCAATTTTCAATATACTGCACAGCTTGTACAAGTATTGAATCAGTACCCAAGCAATCTATTGATAGATAAGATTTTTTGTTTGCGTGTTTTTGACTTTTTTGTATCATTTCATAGACATTTTATTTCATAGACAATCAAGTTCATTTATAATTTGAATAATTTGATTGCAAATCATTTTGGTAATCTGTTATTAAAAAAATTGGATTATTTCACAAAGTTTGGACATTGTATACTAATTGTGTAACATTCGTATTTCAGTAATATCCCGATCTACTGCTTAAGTGGCATAAGTGGTATGATCATTGTTCTTGCAATCTTCGTGGAATATGAAAAAGTTTTTTAATTTTTCATGAATTATAAAAATATATATAAACATAATTAGTGATGGGCAATGCGCATGGCATGCGCATTTTCATGCGCATGATTTTTATATATATTATAATGCCGGCAAAGCAATACGTATAATGCTGGTAGATTATCTAATTACTATGCACGGATTTATTAATATGGTAAGTATTATTGTTTATCACTATTGCTATGTATATGATTGATGTGAAGTTCTATGATTTTTTTATATGTATTTTAATGCTAAGAAACCGCTATAATATGAGCCGGAATTTTCAATAGATTCCGAAAACTTCCGAAAACTTATAAACGATTCCGAAAAATTCCCATGTGCATTTATGCGCATGAAATGCGAAAAAATTGAAATTTTCACATCACTAAACATAATCACTAGAAATATAATTTCTTGTTAAAATAATATATTTTAAATACATTTAACATTTCAAAATGATGCCAATATCTGTTTATTAACACCATGTTATAATAATGTTGTTTAAAGAATGACTTAATAATGGTTATATTTAGTGATGGGCAATGCGTATGACATGCACATGGGCTTGGTGCTGCAAAAAGAGGGTATATTGACAAGTTTTTAAAATTAATTTTTTTGTATAAATTATTTTAGAATAAGATTAGGATCATTTTTTACTTAAAACACAAAAGTAGTTATATTAAGAAAATTATGCAGTTTTTTATGATTTATTATAAAATTTATAACATAAAATTGATTTTCCGAAGATCTATTGTTTTTGTCAAGCTGAAATTTTCAATTGAGTTATATTTTTTATAACAAGGAATAGTGAGAACTACCAACGTTAAAAAGCGTATACGCATATATATATCGATATAGAATGATAAACAAATAAAAAGTTCTACGTAGAAATGCAGACAGGGTAAAACAGCCACCCAAAAAGTTTCGCACATCACGTGACAAATATATCAAGCACTAAAAATTCATGTAAAAAATCATTTTTCACCGATTTAAACCTTGCGATAATAAATAATACGTTTATTGAATTATTCAAAATAAATAAAATGATTGATTTATTACTTATTGGTTAAATTTTTTTGTATGTTTTATTTTGTTAAGCTACATGAATTTTTAGTGCTCGATATATTTGTTATGTGACGTTCGAAACTTTCTTGGGGGCGATTTTGCCCCAATCTTAGAAATTGGCCCATTAATGTTACTGCAGGCCGGATGATATTTAATGCAGGCTATATAATATGCTAATGCAGCCCAAATAATCTCATATTAAAAATTCCGCGCGGGATTCTGCGCGTGGCCATCACTAGTCGTTACCCTGTCCAGTTGATTCTCGACGTAATGAGGATTGCCGTTGTTGTTTTCCAACTCTACTAACATACCGTGGTATTGTAATGTATTCCAGTTTGAGGTCCGTTAGGAAGATCCTGCCGTGGTTTTGTTGAAATTATTGAGGATATAAAGTATAAGCTTTATTGTGTATTATTCGGTTCCTATACAAGTAAGGAAGTCATACCTACGATCTTAACCCCACTCGCCAAATAAAACCGCCTCTTATCGACTAAACCATTCGTAGGTTACATGACATCTCAGATTGTGGAGCGACTGACTCGCCGTTTAGAGCTGTCACTACATATAATACAAATAATTTATTTATAGTGTAAGGCCAGTAAATAATGTCAAGTATTTATTACACTATCGCTTAAAAATCAAATGTGTACGTAAAAATAATCATCAATTAATTTTATGGGATGTATCGCATTTATACAGCAATGTATTCTTAAAATGCAGTTCGCAATCAACGCGATCATAAATCATCATTTCAAGCCATATTCATATTCTGCTATTTAAAATCGTAGCAAATATGTAATAAATTAGATCTATGTAATATAGATCCTATCTGTAAATAGAAAAACCAAGCATATGAATACCGAAAAGTTTTGCATCCGAACCTTCCGCATAACAATACATTTCGTGAAATTTTGAATATCACTCCGTTCCTGATATAAGAGCTTATGGATAGTATCAATTAGTGCTCCAGATGGGTTTGGTACGGATTTTATCAGAACGATCCGAAGCTGATCTGCTACAGTAAATTCGTCATATGGGTCATGACTTATAATATCCATCCTGTGTTAATATTGCAAGCGAGAAATCTGTGCCAGGTTTTGTCGATCATGATCGACAAAATTAGGAAAAAAAATTTTCTAACTTAAAATGTCGACTATATGAAACTGCTTTTTGTGATCTAACAAAAAACATTCCTCTCATAATTTTGTATACGCTTTTAATTCTAATTCTTTTTTAGCTTAATCTAACCCTAATTCAATAATAACTTTAAAATTAGCTTAATGCGGCCGACGTCGATCAATCTAGGAGATGATCGACAAAACCTGGCACAGATTTCTTGATTTTTCAGATGTTATATTTAGTATGAAAGTGTATTCATTAAATATCTGTTGATACGAATGTAAATGCTCAAATATACATCCAGAATAATGTATATGATGAAGAGATATCTTGAAGTCCTTCATTGATACTATAATCAATGTTTACGTCTTGTAATCTTAATTACCCGTGAGAACTTCATTAAAATTTTCATGTGGAAGTTTTTTGCTATAAATATTTGTGAACAAAATAAATTATTTATAAACAGATTCCTAATCAAAAATTAGTACGCCAAGAAGTTAGTTTTGACTTTGTTCGGTCTCTGTCTCTTAATAGATAAGTGAACAAAACTCAAAATGGCTATTCTAGAAATTATTGAAGCCTTTAGTATTACAGATTATCTCCTTATTTTTGCTTTAATCTTTGCTACCTACGTTTTTAACTTTTATTATAAATACTTAACTCGCCCCAATCCACTCCATGGTCCATTCCCTTTACCATTCATCGGAAACCTTCACAACATGATTTTCGATTTAAAATCGTTCTATTGTAAATGCCAACCAAATTATGGAGATATCTGTGAAATAATGTTTGATGGATCTAGATGTATAGTTCTCTCACGACCAGAATATATTGAAAAACTTATGTCTACATGTGCAAGAAGGTTGCCATATTATCAGGGTCTGGAT